AAACAGTAATCCTGACACTGTTTCAGTACATGTGTCTGTTAGTATGTATGTCTGTATCTTTGTCCTTTTGTATCAGTGCATGTGTTTGTGTCTGTGTGTCTTCCTGTGGGCGGGGTTTGGAGGCGGTCCCTGTGGGTGGGCTTGGAGGCAGGACCCTGGAGACCCAGACCCTGAGCTTAGTTAGGGGCCCCAAAATTTCTGATGGTGGCTCTGCCAGCACAGCAGGTATTTGAGGCTGCCTGGCTGGTGCCGGTATTGCAGTAATACTGGCAATACAAATGCGGTTATTTTTCTTAGTATATACTGAGATTAGACCGCAATACCGACGCTGACCAGTAGGTGGCAATGTATGTGTGTGGAGAGAGACAGGGATAGGCAGTTACAACATATCCCTGCCTCTCTCTACTCATTGATCCACTGGGGAGCAGCTCTGCCCAAAGAGTCCAGACACCAGCTCAGGTTAATGCTGAGGGATGGGGGGAGACAAATGGAAGGGCAGTCTGTAACTCAGGGGGCACACTGGAAGATCCTGGGAGACACAGAGACATGGGGACACTGGGACACTAGGGTACACTGGGAGACATGGGGACACTAGGAGAGACATGGGGACACTGGGGCACACACAGACATATATACACTGGGGTATCCTGGGAGACACAGAGACACTAGGTGACACTGAAAGACATAGAGACACTAGGAGACTTTAGGACACTGGGGCACACAGAGACATGAGGACACAGACATATGGGGACACTGAGAGACATCGTGACACTAGGGGAGACAGGGACACACACAGACATAGGGACACTAGGGGATCCTAGGAGACATGGGGGCACAGACACATGGGGACACCGACACATGAGGAACCTGAGACACTGGGAGAAATGGGGACACAGACACTGGGATACATGGGGACATTGAGGAACTAGGGGAGACATGGGAACATTAGGGGAGATATGGGGACACTGGGGCAAACACACAGACTTATGGACACTGGGACACACACACACATTGGGACACTGAGACACTAGGGTAGACATGGGAAACTAGGGGACACTTGGAGACATGGAACACTGAGACACTAGGGAACATGAAGACACTGGTCATATTGTGAAAACTATCAGGACTGTGGCTTAGCCGTTGACATTTTTAGTGGCAGCAGGGATAGCTGAACGTTTTGATATAAGATTTGTGTAGGTGGGCTTGAAAATGAGGGAGTGGTGGCAGTTTAGAAATCATGTCCTGATTTTTCAGCTTTTACCAGCTCCCACTCTAGTTTTGAACATTTCGCCATTCATTCCTATGGGACCAATTTCACCACAAAATCGACGATATTCCGTGAACCATTCGGCGAAACGTTCCATGGGAACATTAGGGGAGATATGGGGACACTGGGGCACACACAGACTTATGGACACAGGGAGGACATGTCTGGCGGCTAGTTGTAATGAGAGTGTGTGTTGGCTGGGTGTAATGTGTGAGGATGTAGTGTGTCTGCCTGCTGCCCCCCCTCCTTTATTTTTCTAGCCTTTTTAGTGCATTTCCAAGATCCCTGGTGGTCCAGCCTGTGTGGGGGGAGGGGGAGTAGCCCTATTCCTTGGGGGGGTCTATCAGGGATCCTGGTGGTCCAGGTGGTCATATTCCTTGGGGGTCTACAGACTCTCACTCCCAGCACTCGGTCCTTCCTATAGCAGCACTGCTGTTTGCCATCTCTAGTGAAATCAATGCACTAACACATTGCCTATTGCCCATACTGCTCCTAGTGAGCACAAGGGAACTTTGCCCTCATCCAACATGGCGCCGGGTGGTTCACGCTCCGTGATGTCATTTCCTTTCCCAGATGAAGCTTTCCTTCCATAGGCTGCGCCCCCTTCTCACGGTATTCGGCATTGCTATCAGTGACGTCATTTAGCTGCGCCGTGCTGAGCCGGTGGGAGCAGAGTGTGAGGCTCGGGGTTCATTGTGTTTATTGGGATTATTCCTGGTTCCAGATCAGGAGGTTAGTATTGTCCTCAGTGACCCCCCTGGAGCATCATGTGACCTGGTAATACAGCCATTCAGTTATTACTGAGCAGCATGGAGGATACTGGATCATTAATACAATGCTGCCATTAATCAGACTAGTACATTAACATGGGAGAGAGGGGGGGCAGCATGGAGAGAGAGAGAGAGGGGGGGCAGCATGGAGAGAGAGTGAGAGGGGGATAGCATGGAGAAAGAGAGTGAGAGGGGGATAGCATGGAGAAAGAGAGAGAGGGACAGCATGGAGAGAAGAGAGGGACAGCATGGAGAGAGAGAGAGGACAGCATGGAGAGAGAGAGAGAGGGACAGCATGGAGAGAGAGAGACAGCATGGAGAGAGAGAGGGGGGACAGCATGGAGAGAGAGAGAGGGGACATCGTGGAGAGAGAGGGACAGCATGGAGAGAGAGAGAGGGGACATCATGAAGAGAGAGAGGGGACATCATGAAGAGAGAGAGGGGACAGCATGGAGAGAGGGGGGCAGCATGGAGAGAGAGGGGGGCAGCATGGAGAGAGAGAGAGAAGGGGGCAGCATGGAGAGAGAGAGAGAGGGAAGCATGGAGAGAGAGAGAGAGAGGGGGAAGTATATGGGGAGAGAGAGAGAGAGAGGGGCAGCATGGAGAGAGAGAGAGAGAGAGAGGGGCAGCATGGAGAGAGAGAGGAGGGCAGCATGGAGAGAGAGAGGGGGCAGCATGGAGAGAGAGAGAGGGGGCAACATGGAGAGAGAGAAGAGAGAGTAAGGCAGCATGGAGAGAGAAGGAGAGGGGGGCAGCATGGAGAGAGAGAGAAGGAGAGAGGGCAGCATGGAGAGAGAAGGGACATTTTCTGTGTTCACTATACCTGGAGGGACCCACCCTTTTATGTTACACTAAACAAGATGGAACTTCAAAACATACCAAATTATTAGAACAAACCAATGGTTAATAAATGCTTGCGAAGAGAAGTTTCTACATTTATAATTTTGTGCGATAATATTGCAGAACAAGATTATTTTATCATAATGAGGGGGTTTACATTTTCTATATCATAACGAGGGGGTTCGTTCTTTTTACTGTGTTCTTATCTTATCTACAAAGCTTACCTAATGATAAACTGATCAGAAATGGCTTTAGCTAGGAACACTGTAGCAGGATATATTTGCTGACTCAATAAGTGTCTTTGAGGGGCATTGCAGCAAAGGAGAATGTTTAACCCTTTCACATGGGGAGAGAAGTAAAGGGACAGTATGGAGGGGAGGAGATGGTGCAGCAGAGAGGATACTGGATCATTAATGCAACGCTGCTACTAATCAGACAATTATATTAAGTAAGAAAGTATAACCCAAAGATGGGGTAGAGCGACAGAGAATATATGCTGTGTGTTATATTGGAGGACACTGATTTGTAATAATGTGAATAATGTGTTATTTAGGAACAATCTGAGTTTGAGAAAGAGGACATTTACTTTTCTGCATAGGAGTGGGACTGTTTAAATCAAGAAGATCTAGTGGTGGAGAATTACCAGACCATCGGCTCTCTGGGTAAGGAAATCTCACACATCCCCTTTACAGGAAATATTTCTCATCAGAGGACACATATATCTGGGACCAGGGCCGGACTGGGAATAAAAAGCAGCCCTGGAAATTTTTTATACCAGCACTAATATTAATTATGCCACTTGTGACAGATATACGGATGGGAAAAGCCAAAAGAATGAAAATGATTTACCCCAAAAGAAGGAGAACTTAAAAATAAAAAAAAGAGCTGCTTTATTCTAATCAGATGTGCAACATCTTACATCACCGTTTCATCCCCATAACCTTGAATAGTCCAGTAATGGGAGTGAAACATTGACTGCATGTCTGATTTATATAAATGCTGTTTTGTTTAGTCCTCAATCCTATGAGTGCACTCTGCGTTGGATATAGTTTTACTCCAGGACACCAAAGACTCGGAGAAAGGCAGTGTTATCCACTAAACTAATAATTTAATAATTCCAAAAATTAGGCTACAATTGTCAAGCTGTCACTATAGCTAAGTTAGATTTTTCAAATCTGCTATTGTGGTCTAAATTACACAATTTAGATTTTTACTTCCTAAAATGAAAAAGTTAAGTGAATAACCCTTTGACAAATGTAAAACCCTTGTTACATTTTATATACGTGTGTAATTTCCCAATGTGTATTGTGTATCATACTTATGTTTTGTATATCTGTAAATATATATATAATTTATATGAAACCAGAGGGCTGCATTTTTTACAATACACAATATCCAGCGCACTCACTTATCTACTAAACAGCAACTTCAATATTGACAGATTTTGTTGTTTGTTGTTTTTTTTTTTTTTTTTTTTTAAACACCTAATCTAGGCAAAAATAATGGGGGTTTGTTACATTATATGATCATACATTGCATAAGCCTGCCACAACGTCAATGTACCCTATCTTTGGTAGGTACTACTCTAACTGCCTAATGTCTGCTCTTATGAGATTAACCCACTTACTTGGCTAGACTAGCAACAATACTGAGATACAGTTCTTAGATGTAACTGATAAAGACCAAGACAAACTAGGATATACACTACATCGGAAAAAGACTGACAGGAATATGTTGTTGATGGTTTCCAGCTATCATCTACAAAAATTAAGACTCCTTAACCATATCGCAATACAAGATATACCTACCACGTACATTTCATATGGCAACCACACAGATTCGGAGATCAATTGAGAAATATTGGGGTGTATTAAAGGGACACTATAGTCACCCAGACCACTTCAGCTCAATGAAGTGGTCTGGGTGCCAGTTCCCTCGGGTTTTAACCCTTCAGATACAAACATAGCAGTTTCAGAGAAAAAGTGGGAGGAGAGGTCACCAGAACCGAGGGAGCCCAGTGCTGGATTAAGGTAAGCTGTTAAAGGGGTTTTAACCCCTTCAGCGCCACAGGAGGGGGCCCCCTCAGGCACTATAGTGTCAGAAAACCGCTTTGTTTTCCTGACACTATGGTGATCCTTTAAGCTCTGATAAACATCTTCCCCAGACATTTCAAGACCCACGATTAGTTCTAAAAGGAATAGAAATTTGAACGACATGCTGGTTCGCAGTGATCCAATCCATGGCTATAAGAAATCCACAGGACATCAGATAAAAGGATGCTTCAAATGTAGCGAGTGTGTAACATGTAGCCACATGATTAGTGGAACTTCCTTTGCACATACTCACAGTGGCAAAATGATACCAATTTCACATTATATTACATGCAAAACAGATCATGTCATTTATTTAATTACCTGTCCCTTTCATATGTTGGTAAGTCCGATTTGACAGTACGTGATCATGTCAGAGGACATAGGTCAGGAATTACCACTGTTTACAGGTATCAAATAACGGAGAAACCCGTGGCCAAACATGTATCTGCTTAACACAGGCTACCTACTTTACGCTTCATGGCCATAGACCATGTCCCCCCACTTCCACGTGGAGGTGACAGATCCAGACTGCTCTTTCAAAGGGAATCATTCT